ATGATGATGATGATGATGATGATGATGATGATGACTATCACTATTATGAAGATGATGATTGTCGTTTTTATTATAAATATTTTATTGCTATTACTATGCCCCATATCATCCTCTCTTTTTTTACTTGATCCCCTCTTGTTTCTTCAAACTCATACCCATCCAACTCCTCTATTCATCAACTATCCCCTCCTCTCCCCTCTGTTTGTCTTTTCTACTCTTATACGATGTTATTCCTTTCCACCCCCTTTTGTCTTTCCTCTTCCATAAACTACAGTACCATGCCTTCCCATCCTCTATACAATAACCCACCCAGGGCCAACCACACAAGTTGCTTCAACGAACTGAACAAACTCGGGGATGTCAGAGATTCAAATCCGAGAAGGGTCCCAGTCATTATTAGGGGGCTCATACACATAAAAAAGCGTCAAAATTTTGCATCAAAGTTTTATATCAAAATTTTGATGCAAAATGTGACTGTGTGCAGGGCGTTTTGATGTAAAAAAAGAGGTGAGTTAAACATTTGACTGATTAAACCCTTTTGCTATTTTTTGACGAGTCGTTCAATTTTTTAAGCGTAAGTGGGCTCCTATAACAATTTTGATCAAACTTTTATATTCAGCATGTGACCACCGAGGAGACTGGAGCATTTCTGCTTCTCTCTTACTCTCTCTTATTCGGTCTCTTTCTCTCTCTTTCTCTCCTTTTCCTCTCTCTTTACTCTTTATCGCTCTTGTTCTCTTCTCATCCCGCTCAATCGCCTCCTCTCCCTCCTACATTTCCCTCTTTCTCTCTTGTGGTCTTTCTTTCTTCTTTCTTACATCACAAATCAAACCGAGCTTTCTATTTTTCACGTTTCTGTCAGTTAATCAGAATGTTATGTGAAGAAGAAAAGAAGCCGCAAAAAAGGAGCTCCCATTCGCCCCCCCCCCCCCCCAAAAAAAAAAAATCCCTCCCCTACATCTCTCGATTTCCCTTTCTTTACACGTCAAAGATTTCGACAACATTGAATTTTGATGGAAAATCAAAACCCAGAAACGTATGTGGGCAGTTGTGCATCGAAATTTTATATAAAAATTTTGACCTTTTTTTTGAACGTGTATGGGCCCCTTTAGAATAGGATTTCCCCGAGCCTGATGTCGTGTCGGTTGACCAAGACAAGAGCCCTGACTTCCAAACGACACTGTATCCTGTGTCTTGTTTATACTGGTGTTGTAGCTCGAACTTCACAAAGAAAACAGACAAGACTTACACAGGGTGATGCTGACAGGTGAGCCTACGTTGGTTGTACCGTAAGTTGTGTCACTTCCTGGAAACTCTGGGTACATGTTGACAGTAAATGTGATATCACCGGCCTGTAGACTTGATAGAGGGACAGTCTGGTTACATGTGGACCTGTAGTATGTCACAGAGCTAGATCTGACCGCTGTATGAGAGTACTGCACGTCAGTGTTGTCAATTCGGCCTACTGGTCCCTGGAAGGAAAGAAGATGGTCCAAAGATTAAAATCACAAATATCTCATTATGGACAGTAAAGTTTTGTTCCTAGAACAACGCATACGCAGCGTATCAGAAAACTCCACGCTTCAGATTCAAGTATGAGGGTTAAGAGTGACAGCAGGGTTAGTTAGGCTAATGGAGGGGGTGGGGGAACGATGAATCAGCCGTTTGTTGAGTGATGAAAACGTTTTCGCATTTAGAGGATCTGGGGTTGGATCTTTTTTGTTTTTGTTGTTGTTGTTTTTTTTGGGGGGGGGG